CCCCTCCTCCATGGAGCCAGGCCTGCTGCTCAGTGAGGCAGGAGACCTGGTTGCAAAGGATACAGAAAAGTCTGAGCTAAATTAATGAGTGCTTTGCCTCAGTTGTTCCACAGATTGGCTAAAGACCTGGATATTGTTGTAGGGACATCTTGATGTTTCCTACATTCTCCAACGCTTTGCCTCAGGGCATCAATGGCACTGGAGCACAAGGGTTCATATATGGCTCTCGATACCGTTAGTGCCTGCTGCCCATGAACCATGTTGCCAGACTTCGTCACAGTGTGCTGGGGCGGTTGTTCAGTCGGTATGAGTATGGTTACGCAAATGAGACAGATGAGCACCCTTGTTTAATTCAAATGCTTAATCATTAGAATAATTTTTAAAATAATAAAAAATAAATGAAATTAATACAAAAATAATACTAACCAAATCACTGCTTAGATAACAGCAACAGCAAGTCACACAGCACACACTACACACAGATGAGGTTTCTCAAACATTGGAGCAGGTTGCATCCCATCATTAGAGAGATTCAAAACTGATCAAGGCCATGACAAAGTTGGCCCTGCTTTGGAGTAGGGGTCTTAGGGTGGACCAGAGCTCCCTTCCAACCTAAAATATTCAGTGATTCAAAGAGTCTTTATTAAGTTTCAGATGATCATTTTATCTGAAAAAGTGTAGTGGCAGCCCATAGGTTGTGAAATGCAGTGTGTGTCCAGTCAGCGACTTCTGCATTTGAGGCTGCCGTCTTTTGAGAGTTCTTGATCCTGTTCATGAAAACCTGACAAGTTCCAGCTTGCACTGCTGTGACTAAATAAAACTGCCGCCTTACAGGATTCACACCGCTTTTAGCACTTTGGATTAATTATATGGCTATTATCCTAATGGAAGCAGCCAGAGTAGGTAATTGAAGACATCTTGAAATAAATTAGATAAATGGTAGCAGAAGCAGGCTTGTGCTTTAAAGCTCAGAGGAAAACCATTTTTAAAATCCAACTGTAAAACTCCCCTAAATACAATGAAATTTGCTGTACATTTCTGTTGACCGAACTATATTTTAGGAAAGGTTAGAAGAAAAATTGTGAATCCTGTTGCAGCAAAAAAAACATTCTTTATTTCTTAGAATGTCTGCTGTATTCTTACTTGTTTTTTTTTTTAATTTAAGGAATCCATGCTAAATTATTTTTGAGTACTTAATGCCTGAAGTTTTTTTTGGAGAAATCATCAACTCATGTCACTAAAAAGCCAAGAAGTTCAGTTTTGTGTCACAGAGTTGGTGCCTTCGCACATTTTTCTAATACCAAAGTTCTTCTCAAGATGGAAATTTTTTTTTTATTTAACCAATTTTTATAATGTTTCTGGTTCCCATGGTTGGTAAAAAAAAAAACAGTTGGTTTTTTTTTTTATTTCAAAAGCACAGGTCTACAGATCCTCATTTAATAAAAGCTGGAAATATGCAGAAAACCATGTATCAGATGTGCTTTTAAATCATTAAATCGTTACTGGATTGCAGGAGATGTAGGAGTTGCTGCCACTTTCAGTAGAATGAGTGTCTTAACCACCGTTACTGCAGTTTAATTTTCAGTTTCTCCAGCTACTGCATTTTTTTAGATCTTAACTCCAAGTTGGAGTCAAATATTAATTATATTCCTACCCCTGTCCCTGTTTGTTTTAACCACAGCCAAAAAGAATATTTCACAGCTGATAATTCAGCTAGATCGTGTGTAACTCTGAATATCAAGGTCAGTTCATGCCCTGGTTCTCTGTGATCTCTCTTTTTTGCGGGCATTCAGAAATAATCAGTTAATGGCCTGAGATTTAGTACGGTGATGGTTTGTAGTACAGCATCACAGATTCACTGGGTTTTATTTTGCAGTTGCTGGCTTTAATAATTAAGGGGAGTATTATTGTGATGAGATTTAAAGGCTCTAAACCCCTCATTCATCTCATATTCAGTAACATAACCAGCTTCTTAAAGATATTATTGCTGATAGAATTTATAGCTCTTTGTTATAATACTTTTGGCCCATGAGACTAATTAATCAAGTCTGAAATGCATGTGCTTAATTCTGGTGAGCCAGAGTGATGCGAAATGTATAATTAGCCACTTCGTTGAAGTGTGCATATTATGGTTCAGTGACTAATTTTCTGGTCAGTGAATCACAACCTTATGTCTCTTTTTCGTATTTAAACACTTCAGATTATGATAGTTCTTTCATTTAAAGCCATTCTAGCCGTAAAGATCTAATTCATGCCTAGCATTTTAATAACTGCATCTGCTGTACGGTTTTCTAAGACAGAAATATTCATCTCTCTTTAAATTACATATTTATTCTTTATGGCTTATTTTAGTTACAACTTAAACTTAATTATATGCACCAGGGTATTCTTAAGGTCATGGAATATAACATGACATAAAGGTTTGGTTTAGTTTGTAAAAACTGTAATTGTTGGCAGCGTAGTATTCCATTTTACAAATTTACAATTCTTTATCTAGAACTGACATCAACTGTAGACTGAGTGCTTTTAAATATTTATTTTCAGACACTTTGGAAATGTTTCACTTTAAAGCAGTTAGTTGTAGGAAAACAAAACATTCCTTGTGTATTTCTATTTTGGAATACAATTGCTTTAAACTTTGTCATTGCTTTGAGGCTTTTATTCATGTATCATCTAACAGCTTCAGGTATCATTGAGGAACTTCGTTTTGACATGCGATTCAAGCCTTGAAAATCACATCACTATAAACTGTGAGCAGCTTTGGCATGAGAAAAAAAAATCAGTTAATAAGCTTTTACATTTTTACGTCCTACCTAAACTTGTTTGTATGAAAATATTATTGCATTACAGTATACGGTGTCAAAACATTCCTAAATAATCAGGAGTTACCACGCTTCAGATGCATTACGTATTGTCTGTTCTAGGTTTTCAGTGTACAAAAACGATTGTATGAAGGATTTCAAGCCTCTTATTTTCCAAGGGAGGTGAATTATCAGGCAGAGGGCAGGAGGGGGTATGGTATTTGCATCACTTTGTGTGGTTCCATAATTTACCAGACTGGTGATCTCCCTCATGTGTTTACAAACGTGGAGCTCTCTCTGCTGTGTATAAATAATACGCTCATGCATAATGTTGCTTAAAATAATGGTTTAAAATACAAGAAGTTTGGGGTGTTTTTTTTTTTCCGTATTTTCTTTTAATTTGTTTTTACATTAGAGGAGACAAATGCATAGCAAATACGGGTTGAATCCTTTTTTACTTCATGTAGTAATAGCAAAAGTTCATTGTTCCTCCCAACTGAGACTGAAAACATGGCTGGTTTAGTCTTTGTAATACTTGGCTCTAAAATTAAAATTCAAAGGAAACAGGATCCGACTATGAGTCAGTATGCAGAACAGATGAAGTAGAGGGGCCATGAAGAAACATTCTTTTTCTTTCAGTCCAAGGTCTTTTTCATTACTGAGAACCGATGTCATATTTCGTAATAGTAGGATACGAGTGCCAGACTGTGATCTGTTTTGATCAGGATCAAAATGCTGATGTTACTTCCTTGATTTTGTTCTAGTTTCTGCTGTATTTTCTGTAAATGTTTTTAAACTGAGACACTTCCTTGCAAATTCTTTTCAGAGCACTTTGTGTCATTATTTCAAATGGAGTCACTCATTCTCACCTTTCTTATCCTTTTGGAAGTAATTACTGACTTGGATGTTTCGATGGTGTTGAAATAATCTCCAAATTGTATTCCTTTCTGTAGTGCCTGACTTCACAGAGTCTGACAAATTATTTGGCGTAGGAAATGGGCTCAGGGTTATCCACTCACGGGAAGTTGGCTTACACATGGATGCCAAATCCCAAATGACTTTAACCGCGATAGGCAGTGCTAATGAAAATCATTTTGTTGCATGAGATATAATGCACTTTTCTACCTTTCATTCCAATAATAAATTAAATTCATAATTTGAGCCAAATGTTGTGGAAACAAATAATTTACCGTATGCATATCTCAGTGTCACCTGATCGTGCTTTTCAGCCCTGCATAATACTGCAATTACCTAATTGTCTTTCTAGCCTGCTAAGAAAATACTCCTTCAGCTTGACATCTTTAAACTGTGCTTTCGTTCAGTAGTTTACAGTTGTGTTGGTACTGTATAATGGGTGTTTATCATTAATATTATAGACAGCAAAATGCCTAATTACAGTTATACCACTGTGCTGAAAAAAAAGTGTTACAGTCCCAAGCCAATTCTGAATTTCGGTTGCTGAAAGCAAGATTGGTAAGCAGTCTTGGAAGTCTCAACCAAGAAAGAGGCACTTCCCTTGTCTTTTCTTAAGCCAAAGGACTGTGCTCCCAGTGTTCAGCAATAGCTAACAGCAGAGAAAAAATGCTCCGTAGCAACAGAAGTTCATGAAATAAAAGAAATATTTAAATGTGGCTTAAAATTAGGGAAATAGCGTTGGTCAGATTTAAAAATGTGGAAGTAGATTCTCTGTTATAGACAGGAGGAAGGCAAATATAAAGGCTTAGTAATATCTTCTAGGTCGAAATGGAGAAAGAAGTTACTCTGGTGCATGTTCTGTTAGCTACGAGCTGCCAGAAGTGTGCCTATGCTGCTACTGTGCCTCTGGGCTTCTGTAGGCTTCTGGGAAATACAGTGCTCTAAAGGGAATGGAGAGGATGATACTTTTTTTTAAAAATTGCCCCGCTCTAGGTCTGTGTCCGTAAAGTTCAAACTCAGAGAATCTTTTTTACCAAAATTCGCAGTGAAGGCTTTAGTGGTCACTTCTTTTTTTCCCCCTCCTGTAAATACTGTCATGGTCTGATCACTCTTAGTCTCGCACACAGTGCCTTTCTGGCAAATGTCATCCACAGAACACATTCAAAAAAATCACAGCCATGCATCTCTGGAGAAAAAGGGTACCCTCTATACAAGATGTGGCTGAAAATCTAGAACTTTGATAAAACAATAGGAGTAATATTTTTTCACTGATGTTTTGTATAGGTTTGTAATTGGACGAGAAAAACCGGGACAAGTGAGTGAGGTTGCGCAGCTGATTAGCCAGACTCTAGAACAAGAACGCCGCCAAAGAGAGCTGCTGGAGCAGCATTATGCACAGTACGATGCAGACGATGATGAGGTAACAGACTATCTAGCGTTTCACTATTCGGTGTTTTTTACTGTTCTGTTTTCTATTCCTAATTCCTTCCTTTTAATTGTCACTCAGAGGTCAGCTTCTGGCCCTCTCCATTACCTCTGCTGTTGATATTTACAGATCTTGATGATGAATTTTTTTTGAAGTACAAAGTTACTGAAAAGTTTTTCAGCATGGATTTAAAATATTTGTTTTGTTCCAGAAGAGCTGAAATCAAGTTGGTCGGTGCTTCTGTTATCATTGATCTTTCTCTGAAGGCATATGCTTTTCTGAAATAAGGGAATAAAGTTGGTTTGCTTGTGCACTGAAGCATTAGGTTTTTGTGAAAACGGGTAAAAGTCGCCTTCTAACTTTTAGGGGGCTGAGGTTTTAGACCTTTTTTTTTTTTTCCTGGAAGAATTGACATTCTTCTTAATTCAGAACATAAAGAAATTTTCTGAAAATTCCAGGTAAGACCCCTCCTTCCACACACTGTTTTTTCTTTCTGTGTGAACAGGTATTCCACAGGATAGAGAAATAATCTGCCTTGTCTGAAGCATGTATTGATGTTTACAGTTGGTGCCTTTGTCCCAATACAAAGATTTTGAAACTATCAACTTTATACCGTAAATTTTCCATAATTTCTTTGTGTTCTCTTAAAATATGCCTAAATACCGAGGTGCTTGGGAGGATTAATGAGAGAGGTTTTTCAGAGACTACTGTCTCTGTTACACCCTAAATTAGCTGCTGGGTTAAGGTAACAAACAGCTTGCACATAGCCCAAGCATGCCACCTTCAATTCACATTATCTTGAATAATATTATTTGAAATGCCAGGCTCCGTGTATTAGCGTATTTTCGTCCTCGGGCAGATTTTTTATTTTATTTGTGGAAGAAGGCAATAGGGAAGGGGAGATATAGAGAATTCATGCTCTGCATTTATTTCAGTTTAGTTTTTCTTTATGTACTGACACAAGGCTTCTAAACAGTGAAATAGAGAAAAAAATACTCTGAGATAAAATCAAGATACAGTCGGATTTTGAAACACACTGTTAAACTACCAGTAGGTCAGAACAATCAGAAGTGTCCCAGAAGACTAAGAATCCAATGATGCTTTCACTTACTTTAATTTCCACTGATATTAAAAATAAAAAAAAAAATGTAATACGTTTTAGAATGAATCCTGTCATAGGTGCATACTTAAATAAATAAAAGTTGTACTCATCTGTATTGGGGATGCCTATGTATGTGTGCCTGTGTGAGACAAGGAAGGCTAGAAATATGGATATGGATATCCTCTCTGTTCCCTCCTCAAACTACAGAAACAGGCAAGTCTTCTAACTTCTGTTTAGTCTAGAATCAAAATTCAAGATCTTGACTGATTTCTTGAAGGAACACTATAATTTCCTCAAAACCAAAAAAGAGACAATTCCCTCTAGCCTTTGGAACAAGAGACTTCTCATAATGTATCACAGCATGCTGTAGACGTCAAAGTGTGAAGACCTGTGATATCATTTTATGGTAGACATAGTCTGATAGCTTTCATATTGGCAGGAGAGGTGTGTCCTAAATGCCTGATGTTCAAATCCTTCTCACTGTGTACTCACACGCAGAGGGATGTGCGGCTGAAGGCAGACGTAAGTGATGCATTACACCTTTTACCGAGGGGACGCATCCACCTGCAAAAAATCTCAAAGGTTTGTGTTGCTTACCTTTGTGCACCATACAGATGTCATAACTCAAGACCTGGCAATAGAGAAAAGGTTGTTGAAACTATATAGACCAATACTGATCCTGGTAGTGCCTCAGCCTTCGGGCAGGAGTGTTGCTGTGCTGATGCTGACAGTGACGATTTCATACTGGTGACCACGCAGGTGTTTCTCAGCACAACAGTGAAAGAGGACAGGGATGAGTAGGTATGAGATACTTTTTGTGATGCGTCTTCTTGTCCTTCAACTTAGTGGTTACAAACTCTGAAGCCCTGTTCACTGCATAAATTTTTAACACAAAAATACTAAATGCACAAACTGTTTCCTATTGGTAGTGCCTTTGGATGACAGAAGATAAGATAGGGCAAGAAATTAACAGAGTTAAAGGCATCTTTTCTTATCGTAGCACCACGTTGAGGATGATGACCACCTCTCTGACTGTGGCATGTGCTTTTGGCCATTAGCATTTGCAGTGCAGAGGCGACTTTTATGCAGCCTGAGATGAAAGGAGGAAGAAAGGAAAAGACATCTACTAGGGCAGATCCGGAGTATCATCAAAGATCTCTTTTGGAAGGAGAAGGAATTGGGCTTCAGAACAAATGCAGTACTTCAGTTCTCAAAAACTACATTGGGATCATTGAAGATCATACCCATTTCCTACTTGATGCCATATACATATTTGGGAGGGGGGTGGTAAACCTTATTCTCAGAATAGACGGCTGGGGCATGGTTACTAAAGTATGCAATGAGGCATGTTCCCTTTCTTAATTAACAGACTTATCAGAAGTAGATTTTATTGGGAACCTCACCAATCTTGAATATTTTGGTTTGGTCACTTGACTATGCCATCCAAACAAACTCATAACTTGCATCATTCCCAGGCAATTGATAGGATGGAAGCTGTGATCTAATGCGCATTAGACACAGTTCAGACATTTTTGGTTACCACAAGCACTTCTGCTCCATTTACTGTCAAATACGAGCATTGCTACTTTGAGCTCACCTTGCTCTGTGAGGGCAGATGTGGTGGGGTTTCTGTTGCTATATGCCAGACACCACTGCCAGCCCTGCATTCTGTGGCTCTGGTAAGCAGGACATCTTTTGGGCAAGGAAATCTCAGTTTACACTGTCTGAATGAATATCCCCAAATGTACAAAAAACCCTACCCTTTCAAGTCCATTTCCTCAAAGTGATAGTGATTCTGACTGCGTGAAGTTCAGGAATATTTGGGTTGATAGTGTAAGGAGTTTCATGCTGAGGTGGCACAGGAGTTGCTCAGTCACAGAGCTATCAAACTGTCCTATTCATTTTCATACGGTTCTTAAAATACAGTAAGATGGATCTCCAGCTACAATGCTGCATAAATAAACAAGGAAATGATCTTTATTCAGCCCTCCATTGAGGATGACAAATTCTGAGCCTCAGAGACTTTACCTCAAAGACAGCAATATCGTATCAGGTTTCCGGCGCAGGAAATCGGTGATCTGTGTTTGAGTCCGCACGTGACTGTGTTTGGTAGAGCCGGTCAAATCACAGGAAGAGAGCATGTGCCAGGCAAGTGCAAACCCTGGTGGTTTATCTTGCTGTGCCACCAGCTGGCTGGATTTCCTCTGTTTTGAAACTTAGGGCAGTCTTCATCATAGCCCAAGCAGCATCTAGCTATTTTAGAAGGATCAGAGTTCTTTAAAATAGCATCATTATTGAGAGAATTTTGACTTCTGCCAGCCAGTATGCACTGGACTTGAGTCAGATGCTAAATTAGAGAGACACTTGTTAGCCTGCCGTACCTTCTCATTCCATTGCCTTGCAGGAATGTTACATGACAGTTACTTGTTGGGGAAGATTCACACTGATGCACATAGTGTTTCCAAAAGAGACATCATTTACTATATAAGTAATCCTGAAAGAAATATAATTTACTACATAAATGCCCTGCATCCCTGCACTTCAGAATCTGCTGCAAGCCATCACAGGGCTGCAGGGCGCTTTCAGTCTTTGCATGGAAACACTAGAACCTTATGCAGAGCTGACGAAGGCTAAAAGAAAAGGGATGCCCCCAAAAGGGTCCATGCAAAGACAAGCAGGATAAATGTGCAACAGCTCGCCATTTGTGGTTAAGCTCCCACTAGCCGAGCAGAGGCAGTAGTATCAGTTATTTCTCAAGTACTACTTACGATAGCAGTGTTGGTGTTTCCTGATGAGCCTGTGCTAGCTACAATAAAGCTGGGAGAGTGTGCTGTTCTGGTGCTGCCTTTAGATAGCCTGCCGCAGAGTTTACTCATCACCAGTTCGTCTAGCTTCCTAAATGCCCACATCCTTTTAATATGTTGTATCCTGTCAGAAAACAAAAACTGAAAGGCTTTGAAGTAGGCACTTTGTATTTCCTACTTAGTGTGTTAAGTAGGACCTGAATCTGTATCCTTGACTGAAGCCTTTTGTCTTCCCTGTGTTAACACAGTGTTCTGTGCACGTTTTAGACAAATTCTGCCGTTTCTTGGAATTCTGATTTGAACGTGGTATTATTATTATTATCACATGTTCTACAGTGAATGGCAAAAGTCACATAAAGCAGGAGACCTGTTCTGAAGGCTGTGTATGGTGATGAAGGATGTGAAATGGATAACGTATTGCAGCATTCTATTGACTCTGTGGACATGGACAAGTAGTTTTATGCAAGTGACGTTTTAACATATTTTAATGTCGTTAATAGTCATTTGAGTATTTTTTCACTTTTAATTGACATTCTGAGAGCAAAACAACATTAGAACCACCGAGGAAAATCTTGACACACGTGAAAAGAAAAATGTTGCAATGTGCTTGAATGTCCAACACCCAAAGAATACATTGGTTAAACAAGATCTTTCAGAGTACAGTTTTTCCAACATTGTTAAAGGGAAGCATTCCTGTAAAAACGATGATTGATACTATACCATTATATTTTTCTTTGCTCTTTTGAAAGAATTAAGTATAAACCATCAAAAAAAATCAAATGGAGAGGTGGGCTTGAGTTAGCTTTATAGTTCTTGAAATGGTGTTCCCTGATTGCGGGAGAGTTTCAGCACAAACAAAAGGTTGAGCTTGACGCAGCCTTTGTTATGGTGATTTGGGGAAGGTCGCTCTGCATTACCCTGGCTGGTGCTGCTGCTCCTTCTTTCTGCTTGGAGGTGTTAGGCCCATTTCAAGAATTTACAAGGCAGTTAAACAATGCAAGTGACACATTTTCCCTTTTAAAGTGGGAAATTGCAGTTCATGTTTATAAAGATAATTCCATGCCGTTAGCTGTGATAGCATATAGCAAAATCGAATGGCTAATATCAGAAGCTGTTGTGGTGGATGGGATAAGCATAAGCCCTACACAATACTGAAATGAGAAATAGGTCTTTTGCATGGGTGAGTTTTGCTCACCAATACAGACTGAAGAGTCTGAGATTTTCCTTCAAGAGCATGTAAGTTTTCGTTGGCTACTGAGCAAAGAAATATTATTGTTGTTGTCAGCTAAGAAAACAAATATATTGCAAGGAACCTCAGGCAGCAACAATAACAACTGTTACCTTACAAGGCTTTGTTATTTTGAAGTAAAATAACTTTTGTCTGTGCCTTGCTGCTGCTTGTAAAACACTGAATTTCCCATTCTAGCTTACTGGCACAGGGTCTGAACAACCTTCTGGTAGTTTCATGTGACACAGAAGTCAGCAGAGAGAATATTTCTGGGGAAAGTATGTTTCATGTAGTTCATGACATGTATTTCCTTAAAGCACACGTCGGTTCTTTTGAACCTGTAATTTGTGTTTCATGTGATTATAAGATCAGATCCCTTTCTTTTGAAGACAAAAGCCAACGTATTATTTATTTCTGTGTTCTGTAATGTGTTTGTGGCATCCTGCTGTCTTGTTTACCTGAGCAAACTGCAGTGCTTTGCTTTGATGACTGCTTTTTGCATTAATTGAAGCAAAAATGACTGTGCCCATCAACACTCATTATGTACAATTTGAAGCAAGATTTTCCTTTGTGTTCATTTTAAGCTGCCTGATGTCCCTCTTTCAAACAGTCTGGCTCCTGAGGCCAGTAGAATATTGCCTGCTCTTGAATTTTTCCCCAATATAATTTAGTCCTTCATACGTGTTCGTTTTTCTTTTTGTATGAAGTACTTCTTTTTAGTTTAAGTCTGGTGGAATCAGTTTTAACTTACCTGTTTTATTCTTTTACCAAAATCAGTAAATATAATTAGGATTTTGCGTTAAATTAATATACTCCTTTAAAATGCACACGTGGCTGAGCCAGGTCTGTTTTTTTACATAAACTGTGCATGAGTTTGCTAGTTAATGATGCTATTTCTGCCTGTTCTTCGCATGCTTCAGAGATTTCCTTGCCACTGCTGATGGACCTGCCAAGAAGTTTTTTTCATGCTGAAATGATAGTTGTGTATCACATTATAGATTTTTCAGGGATAATGAGTGCAAAATTGACAGTACATGGATTGTGTTAGTGTTTTGTCCCCACAATAACTCATTTCATTGAAATCTCGACGGGATTTTATAGTCGTTCCGCTTTTCCCCACCCTGATGGTGTGTGAAGGTGGTGTTACGTGCTCCTGGAAAATGCCAGAATTAGCAGCCTAATTTTCTGTTTAGACAGTAACTGCATGTAGCCGTAGAGAATAAAATAGAAGTTACTACAAGTGTAGCATAACAAGGTTTTGTGTGTGCGTGTGAGATGTAGGCATACAGAACGATCAATTTAATTTCAGGTGTTGCCTTGTTTAGCTGTGATGCTAACACGCCTGAAAACGCCGGTGAGATGGGTTGTGTGTTCTTTGCTTCTGTTATAAATAAGGAAAAAAGAAGCAAAACCAGCTGTTAACTCCTTTTGTTGAAGACTGCTGGGACTCTTAGTACCTATAAAGTATGTAGAATAAATGGTTACTGTTTATTTCATTGGAGAATATGTAACTATTTATAGAGACAGCGATAGCTCTCCTAAGTGGCTCGTATTAACAGTGATGTTTAAAGTATGGATGGGTTGTGCATGGTGGTGACTCACCTTTTTTTTGGATAGTTCTTTTAGCATCAGAAGATTTTACCAAATCATTCAATGCTTTCTGTGTGTTTTGGCTTTCTTTGTGTTGTTAAAACTTTAGTGATTTAAAAAAAGGAGAATATAGATTTTTCATGATCTTTAAGGGTCTCTTCCAACCCAAACCTTTCTATGATTCTAGTGCTATTTATCCAAGAAATGTTGATATTTTATTGCAAGTGTTTCACCCTGTTGTTGGACACTTACATACATCTTTTCTGTCTGTGTCTACTTGTGCACCTAGACTTAATGTGCTTCCATGCACTGCTTTGTATTTGAGAGAGATTTACATAAGCCTAAACAACAGCTGGGGAACTAAATTAAGGTAGGAAGTTGAGATTCAAACCGTTGTTTGGACATCTTGAGTTCTTACCTGTTGTTTTGAAAAGTTCATTTGACAAAAAAATGACACTAATAGATAATCCTAGAACTACTGGGAATTTACTTCTGATAATAATATTATACACCTTCATCTCAGGAACGGAAAGCTCAGGAACAAAAACTTGAGTAGTTCTGTCAAAATTTCGGTGGTTTTACTGTATAAACATGAGAAGGAATGCACCGCTTCCCTCGCCCTTCCTTTTCCATGTATTTATAAGTCCCAAGCTTTATAAATCCAGATGTGGCCTTGAGGGAAGTGTTTGCTTTATAATATGTGTGCACAGTCATTTGCATAGCCAGCAGGCTATTCGTGATCCGTATGGGATGCACTCCGGCTTCCAGAGGGAGCCTGGCTGAAGCGAAGCAGTACCTGGCCACGTGAGGCATGGGGAGAGATAAGCACAGGTGTACGTGCAAAAGATTCTCTGGGCACCTTGGGGTTTAATATTGCAGGCTGCTTCTTTTCAATATTATTGTTTTATTTTGTGTTATTTTGTTTTGTTTTATCTTGAGGTACTGATTGTAACTTATGATTCTTTAAAATTCTGTTTTGTCAGCAAATTGTTCACATCTCATGGTTTATCATCCCAAGAAACACCCACATTTTCTGTTTAAGCCTAGTTAGAAGCAGCTCCCTGTTCAGGGTCAAAATTGAGTAGACTCTGACTTCGGTCTCTGAACTTGACTCTGGCAGTTTCTTTTTCTTGCTGTTATTTTTCTGTGTAAGCGTGACTCTACCATCTATTCATCATGGAATATCACTGCAGAATTACTTCCTCCAGGTGGCTTACAAAAGACTAATGAAGATCCTGTCAGTCCTATTCTGCTTTTATTTCTGTTTGGAAAAGATTCCTTGTTAAATCTGAGAGAAATTTGGAGCGGTTTGCCTATGGGAAGGAGGCCTCACTTGGAAAAGGGTGAAAACCATTGAAATATAGAGCCAGCAATGCTTAGGCACTAAATTCTTAGTGCTTAAGACACTGCTTTCTCCTCTGTCTTAATCTTCTGAAAAACTACTGTGGACTTGTATGTTGTCTGGTAGAATTCATAAGTACTGGGATTATAGCTAAAGAAAAAGAGAACGGTTTTTGTGTGCAGTACGCTGTGTTTGCACAGTAGCTTAATTACTGTTTGAACAGTCCCTGCTTAATAAGAGGATAACTGGAATTTCTTAAATGCTATAAAATTAAGACAGGGGAATATGCTACAGATGAAGAAGATGAAGACATGGGACCTGTCCTTCCAGGAGGTGACATGGCAATTGAAGTGTTCGATCTCCCTGAAAACGATGACATGTTCTCCCCCAGTGATGTGGACACCAGCAAGCTTGCTCACAAATTCAAAGAGGTAAGTTACAGATCAGAAAATATTCCTGAAATATCTCACTGGAATTAGATTTCTAGTTATCTCATTGCTCAGTGCTTGTTTTCTCTCTTGAAAATGAGAGTTGATTTCTAGCTGTTTGTATGTTTGGTACTTTTGAATGACTCAAAACGTTCTGCTTAAACAAGTGGAACCGTTCTTCGGAGCTGTTTTAGCATCAGCTTTCAGGTGACTGTTGCATTGATGGACGATTATTTATAATTTAAGTTTTCAGCACAGAAGTTATCCTGCCTCAGCACTCAGTTTGCATTTTTTGACCAGGAAGACAAAGCGCAAGTTAATCCATTACAAGCAGATTGCTGCCTTTTTTTCTTTTGGGGTTTGGGTTGGTTTTTTTGGTTTTTTTTTATAAGATTCGAATCAAAAGTGATCAGGAGAACCAAACAGCAAATGCTAAATTTCAGTGAAAAAGGACACGTGGAGTTCATCCTATACCATCACACAGCGACTCATCGATGTACAACAGCGTCATATGTTTGGCCATGTGTTTAGAAAGATGCTATACTGGGGAAGCAGGCATATTTCAAGCTGTTGTTTTACCAAACTCTGTGGTTACAGAGTTTTTATAGCATCCACTGGTATGAACTGTGGCTTGAATCTGTAGTGTTCATTGCAGTCACTGAATTCATATAAATTAACATACCAAAGTACTGAGAAACATTTTTTCTGTATTTTAGGCTGTGCTTTTGGTGTGGTTTATTTCTCAGCTTTCCTGAAATCTGATGCAAAGACATGAAACAATTGGATTTATCTAAACCCACAGTAATGGGCTGAGTGATGACAATAAAGAACATTATTCTTCTTAAATACAGGAAGATGGAAGGGGTGAAAGTAGCCAGGACCTCATAGGAGATTTGAGCAGCAGAACCTGGGCCCCAAAAGGAGTTCTAAAATACAGAGGCTCCCTTTTTATCCTTCTTCCCCTGTCCTCTCCCCTTCCCCTTCCCTCCACTCAAACCAGATATTTTGTCTTCCATAAATACACGTTGTTAATACTCTCTAGTGAGAGTAATGTATGGAAAGTAATCAGTCAATGAGCACCCGCTCTTTGCCTTTTCTGTTGATACCCTTTTCAGCCTTTGGATGCCCACTGTTATTCATCGTTGTTTCCTGAAAGTTTTTTACTTTACTTTAAATGATAATTTTCTCACTCTGTGTTTCAAGTTCCAGGCTCTTATGCAAATTAGAAGAACAATTTACTTCATTTTCTAATATTCTGCATCATACATAGTGGTGCTTTCTGAAAGTGGTGGGAAGATGCTACCACTCTGATTGTGCCAGTGTACCAAGGCTATGCAAACCACAGATGCAGTGATAGGCAAGACACTCACCTTTGAATAAATTACCTGTAAAACTATGCTTGAATACAGTTTCTGCCAGCTTGGGCAATTGCCATACTTGAGCGTGTCCAAACTGATTTGAAGCTATTTGCAGACCTGTTTGATGTAATGGCCTCAAAACACTGGTGTAGAGGAGATCAGATGAAGGGACTTTGAGATCCACCAGTTTAAGAGCAGATGAGAGCCTGAGAAGAAAACATTAAGTGCTCCCACATCAGAGTGGACTTTTGCACTAACCCACGCAGTTACCACTGCTACGAGCATGCCACTTTGCTTCACTGATTGTATTTAACAGTACACAGCTGCATTTTGTTGGCTGCTACAGAGTGAGTACATGTATTTTTCTTGGTATTTGCCCTGAATTCTTTCAACACTAGTGGACTTGTTCATGATCACACTGCACAAGCCCACACAGTGTTTTCTGGAATTGTATTTAAAGAATAACTGTTCTTTCTTGTTCTTACTCCAGAGATTAATGAAAGTATTAAACAAGTGGGTTGGACATAATCTTTAAACATAATAGTTTGACCTAATTAGTTGAATTCAGTCTTTGGAATCAAAAATGTGCTCACATACTTCGAGAGCACTCTTATTTGGAATGCCTTGCTTTTGGAATGAAAGGAGAGAGATGGACATTCCTGGGTGAATCACTGTACTTCTTCAAGTCTTGTTTTCCTGGCTGTAAGACAGGAAGAATGGGACTGATTTTCCTTAACTGCTTTGAGAGAAAGAGCTGAAAGCTGTATTTTAGCTGTGATGATTGAAGAGAGACAAGATCTGTAGGGAGAAGGGACATCTTATGTAAGAACGAGGTGTTATATTTCATGTTGTAATGAAATATATGAAAAAATGATTGTTATTATATGCAAAAATGCATAATGATTATACAGAAATTGTGATGGAGGTGTATAGATTCCGTTAGGTACTTTCTTTCCCAGTGTACTCTGGATATTGTAACACTTGCTAGCTTTTCATCCCATTCCACCTTTTGCAGTCTTAGATGAATCCAAACCATTTTCTCCCTATATCTATTTTTCATAAAAAGGTTTATTGTTTGAAGAAAACTAATCAGCTTTTCAAGACAAGTTTGAAATGGAAATGTGCCAAAAATTATTCAAAATGTCTTTGTTAAAATGAAGCCTTCACAGTTTTATATTGACTTAGAAAACATAAAAATACAAAATAGTATCTGCCAAGAATTTGTTTGGCATTATATGGGACATGGAACAAGGTATTTCTGCTCCCCTATTAGTAAACTTGCTTAAAAAATTTTAACTATGGTGTCCAGATTTGCCTGCCAAACAGTTGACCTTGCCTGTTCAGTCTAACCTATAAATGTGTTAGTATTTCTCATGTATTCTGCAAGCCTAATTAGTTCCTTAAAAAAAGAAAAAAAAAAGAAAAAAGTAGATGTCCAGCTACACATTTGTCTGTTTGGCAGAAAGTGTCTTTTTTCTTCTGCCTCAGTGGGATCTGCTGTACCATGTACTGATTCAATGATCTGACTGGGTGCTCAGTATTCATTTTTTTAACTTAATAACAGAGAGTATAAAAATAACTGTTAAAACCATCTGTACCTGAGCAGATTGTCATTTATGCAACAATTTGGAGTTTATTTGTATGTAATAATAAGCTGTTTAAGTGCTGCTTATGGGTTTGTGGGGCTTTAAAAGAGATGGGAATGGACTGTAAGCAGGTAGCCTAAGGCTTTGAGCCTTGGCTTTTTGATTTCATTATTAACTCTGCATAGGGCAAAGTCTAGCTCATCCATCCTTCCCGGATTTCATCTCACTCCAAAACAATGAGGTAGCAGAACTAAGCAAAGGCCTGGGCATTTTGTAAACACCGTAACATCTTTAGATGGTTCTCCTGTAATTTTTCACTAATAGCAGAAGTGGAATGATGAGAAAAAACAGTTCTCAGTCTCTGAAAATTGAAGATCAGAGCTCAAAAATTGCAAGTAACTTCTTCAAAAAGCCAATTAAAGTATCTCCTTAGTTTCCTCTACTATGTATAATTACAAAAAGGTATATATCCTTCTCAGCTTCCTGGTCTACTGGGTGGAGCAGCACCCCTGGCCACTTCTTGCCATTAACGCCAGCCTCAGGGCTGCCGAGTGCCCTATTCCCAGCTGTTCTGGTGTTTCTCCGTCCTGAAGCAGTAGCCCTGCTCTCCTGTGACACTTCCTCAGGAGCCCCGTGTGATCCACGGGTTCGCTGCGTGTTCAGGGCAGGTTCGGTCTGGCCCCATGCCTGCTCCACCTGCTAGTGGGCCTGCTGTGCCTCCACATTTTATGTGCTTCTGCAAGCGGTTCTGGTCAGTGACAGGTTCCATTTGAAATGAAATCTTCTATCTGTTTTTCTGAGCACTTGGAAGATTCATTACACTTCCCAGTGCAAAGTCAAAAAGTGAGTGTAAGGAACAGATGTTCCTGGGGACAAGAAGTGCTTTACAGTCTGGAGACAGTCACCAAGAATTGAGGGGTGGAAAGAAGATGCCTAAACTATTCCTCAGGTGGAACTGGTTGCATCAGTGCCTTCTTTATTCCTGCCAGCATAAATTCACTAATTCTCCACCAGAAAGGACTAGGATTATTCACTAGATCTGTTAAGGCTGATTTGCAAACCAAACTACATCTGAGAGGGTGCATTTCCTATGCCACAAGAAGTGGGTTCAAGAGGCTCCATGAACAGGGAATTTCAAAAGTAGCTCAACCTTTCTCAAAGATACTTGTACTGATCAGCTCTGTGATGGCTCCTGTTACTTTGAATATTACTCCTCTTCTCCAGAAGAACTTCTCTTTTGAATTACTTGTACATTTTTTTTACTAACAGCCTGGTCTTCAGGACTGCAGCCATGGCTTCACCAGAGAGGATAATTTCTGGTTCAGTACAACTCCCTTGCGTACTCCATTAGCTCAACATAAACTCTTCCCAAAGGCTCCCATTAGTCTTGTAAGAGAAGTAACCCCCATGTAAAACATGCTTTTCCGTAACTATTCCTGGTATTCATAAATAATGGATGAAGGCTTTGTCTCCGCTGCAGTACCAGCTCAAGCTGGGATTCAGGTTTTGCCCTTGCCCTCAACCCAACATGCACAAGTCACCGATTCAGATTAAACGGTGCTTTAGATTTAAGGGTTTGGGGCCTGTCAGAAGTTTGTCCGAGCTGCCTGCTTTAAATAATAAAGCAGCAGGGATTCAGGTGCAGACCGGTATCAGGTGCATGTCCATGGTCATTTCCATTCGGATTAGGGTTAAGCTGTTGAAGCTGTGGTTCGATTTGTACTTCAGAGCGTTCTTGGAGCCTGTGAATAGCAGACCTTTGGAGTGAAACTAAAGATGTTTCAGGACATTGCCTAATACACTCAAAGAGCTAATGAGCATTCACTCCACAGGATCAAACTAATGTAGGCTAGTCCAAAAGAAATCCCCCCGGAAAGTGTGCAGGTGGATGCCAGGTCCTCATCACCAACCCTTTCAGTGTACAGATCCACTGTTATTGTGGCACGCTGCTTGGTAATGTAACTCCAACCTTTAGCACGCTGCCTGGGCTGTTAATCTCCGTGCAATCATTTTGTGTGCTTGAATGCCATTTCCTGTTTTTTACAGTTTCCCATGTAACTGCTCTCAGTTGAGATTCGCTAACTTGAGCAGAATAACTCCAGCTAATGGTGGAGAAGGACAGCATCAGTTTGCCTTTTTTTTTTTTTTTGCATGAAAGAAACGTGTGGAATCTTCCCTCAAGGTTTTCCTGACTTCTTCAGTTGTTAAATCACTTATTTCCATATTTGCTTTTTTGTAACATGCTTGCTTTAATCGATGCAGTGGGATTTTCTGACAGCACTGGGACGCATTTCACGTTCACATCAGAGGAGAGCAAAGCCCAGCAGGATAACATCTTTTTTTTTTAAACATAAGACATTTGGTTTTGCTAAACAGATTGGATGTTCTGATTTGAAATTATGAGTGGTTAGACGGCATCCTATCTTTAATTAGGTTGCACAGACTGAGTCATTTTGCAAGCTAGACATTTTAATTTACAATCTACTGCACTGCAGCACTCTTCAAGGCCTTCTGCTATGCAATAAGGTATTCAGCTTGCAGCACAGGCTTTAAAAATACTGGAGTACTCTCTGTGACTTCACTTATTTATTTTATATTTTCAATTTTAGTTGCAAATCAAACATGCAGTTACAGAAGCTGAAATTCAGAAGCTGAAGACGAAGGTAAGAATCAATATCTGGTTAATACACGCTGTTTTTTGCCTCTCATGCAAAATCAGATCTGAAGACATATCTTTATGTGGGTGGAGAAGTCAACATCCTTATTAAAGGCTGATTAAGAAGCACGGTGGCTCAGCTAAATCTTGTCTTGGTGTATATTCTCTATTCAAAGTTTCAAGTAAAATCTTAAGTGCTGCTATTAAAAGAAACTGCCAACTCGTGTAGCTTCAATTAAACATACATTTTAGGGGGTATCATAATGACTAAATGGCAGATTTCTAGTTTTTCAATTCTAATGCATTTTCTCAGGTTTTAAAATTATATTTGGATAGATTATTTTAGTCTAAGTTAGTAGGGGTTTTATTTACCAGTGATGTTAAAGTATCCTGTTTATATTAGTTCATTTTTTTGACTTCTAATGAAAAAACCTCATTTATTTAAAGGTGTTTAATAAAAGTTTCTTCTTTATATACAGAAGAAAAAGAGCTGTTTTACATTGCTGCAGTTCTTTTTAAAAGATACTCTAGAAAGGAAAAAGCTTACCAATTTAACAGAAAACATTATATCACAATCAGTTGCTATTAGTTAGATTGAATTTGCTATAGCAGTAAAAAGAAATTGTATTTTTTGTACTAGGATAACCTTTACGGGAAATCAACTGATAACTAATATTAGGTTTTATAATGACATCCTTCTCTTTGAGTACATTATAAAGGAAATAAAAAGATGACTAAGAGAAAATTGTACTTTAGAAAAAGATTTTGATTATCATTTCTTTCTAGCAACTATTTGCACTCACCTTGTATTTTGCATCATATTTATCAAATCTGCGTAAATTATTGTTAAAAACAAATTCAGAGTGCAACTATTTTCTGTAAGGACAATTTCTGTTGTACTCTTTCATTTCAGAAAGTCAGAAATCTTTTCTTCCTCTGCTTTCCAGTTCCAACCTAGCAATCGGAGCCACACGGTCAATCCCTTGGGATTGTGCCGAGCCCCATTGACTTCATGGCAATGATGCGTGGGTGTAAACATTCATCTGTGCAAATCCATTTGCAAGATTAGGGTTAATGTGCCTTTTGGTGTTGGACTTCTTTACCTAGTGTTCTGAACAGAGCTGAAGAAAATGTGGCTGGTTTAGGTATATTACTAAAAAAGCTGCAAACAAGTTATTTTTTTTTTGTATGCATCATCCTTGATGCTAGCAGAACTGCCTAGAGCAAATAAAACAGTCTCAAGAAGTAAACAAGGATGTTAAGGCATTTTTTGTTTTCCATAAATTCTGGGAGCTAAAATATACAAGGTACTGAACAACCCTACCCTTATCCAGCACCAAACGTTCAGACCTGCAGCTAGGTTCAGCTCGGAAGTGAGAAGCCTAACAAAAAAAAAATCTAACAAAAAGAACTAGCGAAGGAGCTAAGGTTTATTATAAACTCGGCAGTAAAATTTGGGCTTCTATTAAGGTCATTTGGAAAAAGTCATTGGACTTCATTGGTGCTGAATAGCGGAACTCGCAGTGGAACTGCGCTGGTCATAGAGCTAAGCAGTGCTGATCTCTTTGGCAGAATTAGCACCTGAAATCTTCAACAGCAAGGACATACTTTTCCTTTCATATTAGCTCTTTACAACTCAGTAAGCAAGTCTAAAGAAATCAAGAATAATATATTTATAACAGGTTCTCTTTGTCGTTGTGATAGTTCTGGTGTGGTTTCAGTATTGGATGCAAGACTCTGTGCTTGCTTAAATGAAAAAGATTCGAGGTTATGAGCTGATGTTAAACTTTGAATTATGCTTCAACCTCTTTGGTTTGGCTTTCTAGATTAAGCAAGATTATGACATGAAAACAGACATTGCAAGAATTCGGTAGAATTTCTGATTTGGGTTAAAAAGCGGGTAGCTAGATTAGATGCAATTGGGGTTTTCCCTATTATTTTCTAAATTGTTCTTAAATCAACTGTAGACCCTGGAAGTCAGATTTCGCCCAAACCAAGAAATTTCTCATTTTATGCTTTCTAACACGTGAGCCAGATGCACAGAGCAAAATGCATCCCCAGTGCTGACTGATTAACCCTGCAGTTTGCCTGAATACTCCACTGTTGACATTTTTAAAGCATGTTGGTATACCCCAGAGAAGCACAGAGGCTGCACTGGCTGCACAGAGCAAAGTTCCGCTTCGTCATGAGGAAGAATAATGTATGTATCAGCCTGTGTTCTTTGTCTTTGAATGCTCTTTTCGCTGCCAGCATATCACTCATATAGCTATTAATACACTGATTTTCACTATTCACGTTGTTTGAATTCATCCTAAAAGATTAGGCTGCACTTTGCTCCTTTTTACTGACTGGCATCTCCACTCTTTTGTTCAGCTGCAGGCTGCTGAGAATGAGAAGGTGAGGTGGGAATTGGAGAAGACTCAACTCCAGCAGAACATTGAGGAGAATAAGGAAAGGATGATGAAATTAGAGAGTTATTGGATTGAGGCACAAACCCTCTGTCACACGGTGAATGAGCACCTCAAGGAGACGCAAAGCCAGTATCAGGCTCTGGAGAAGAAATATAACAAGGCAAAGAAATTAATCAAGGATTTTCAGCAAAAGTAAGCAGCTATGCCAGGCTCAACAAATGACTTAGTGGCCAGATAGGAAACATATATGTGATATATTTTGAAATATGAAACCCACTATTAAACACCTGTAAGGTAAACACTATTTTTCACATTTTTTCCCATGAAAAACACGGGCTCATTATGGAAAAATGTTAGTAGTATTCAAGTATTAGTTCACTATTGTTGAAAAATCGTACTCTAACTAAATAAAGTCTGTAGTATTCCAGGTTGGAATGTTTCAGAATTACTAGATAACTGAATGGGATTGCAAACAACCAAGAGTAGTCATAGTAAAGCATTTGATTATCGAGGTTTGCAGCAATTTATATTGTATTGTGTCAGCTGGATTCACTCCTGCTCTGTACTAATGTAACATCAAAAAGAAAATTGTTTTGTTACATTTTACATTTTATTTTTCTTCTTCTCGTAGATGCCAAGAATGTTTGAGCTGAGTTGAGCTAACTGATGATTACCTGGCCCCCTCTGTTTCATGTGGTCCCCTCTCCCTGATGGCTAGCAAGAATAATAACATCTTAAGTTTCTGTAACAGCTTCCATTCCCCCAAATTTCTTTTTTTTTTTTGCAGCAACTTTTTCATTTTCTGCTGAAATGTACTCATTTAAAAAAGGAAACTCAGAAACATACAGCAATGTCAAGTGACAACTGGGAGTGCAGAAGTGAATATCCTGTCCCATTAAAAAGGAGTTTATATAGTAAAAATGTCATTACCCACTTGGAATTTCATGACTGTTCCAGAACTAGCTGGCATCTTGTGTGCTTTCTATCACAAACGTCTTAGATTTTCAAAATAAAAAGAAATAGGGAGAATAGCAAGAATGAGCTCGGATAGCCTTTCTGTTGTTATTCTACTTTATACTAGTAAAAAATCTAGTCGGTTGTTTTTAACTATCTCAGACTCCTAAAATCACCTAACAGATTTCCTTACAGTTTACTAGAAAATTAGATTCTTACCTGGAAACATACGGATGTCCTTTCTGTGAAGGAGGGCAGTCACACTCTAATAAGAGGGATTTTGCTCCATTTCCTACAACAGAACACAGCCTAAACTAAGTTAACCTTGTTTCCATTGTAAATACAGATTATGAAAAAATTAGTTTGATTTAACTGTTTTGATTATCAATTAGAACAACTGAGATATTTTTTTTTCCAGGTAAATTCCTCTTACAATTTTTATATCTTCACCTAGCATATTCACTTAGACTAAGTAACTGTTTAGGATTTTGTCCTAATTGCAGTTTCATACTTCTTACTAGGTTAGTAATAAAATATTTGTTACGGACAGGTTTTTCTAATGCATAGATTAAGATGTATCAGAATATTTTCTTTTCTGTTTGAATCTGATTGCTTTGATCACAACAAACACATCTTTTTTTCCTTAAGAGAAATTGACTTCATCAAACGCCAGGAAGCTGAACGAAAGAAAATAGAAGATTTGGAGAAAGCACACCTTGCAGACGTTCAAGGCTTACAAGCTCGTGTGAGTAGTATCTACTCTCATATTTGAAGAATGAGACAATTCTGTCTGATATTCTGAAAAAAACCCCACATCTTACAGGCATGTGCATGTGTTACAGGTAACACTGTGTTATGGGTAACGCTGTGTTACATTTCTTTCAGATACGAGACTTGGAAGCAGAAGTTTTCAGGCTAATGAAGCAAAATGGGAGCCAGGTTAACAATAACAACAACATTTTTGAAAGGCAGACATCTTTTGGAGAAGTTTCTAGAGGAGATCCAGTGGAAACCCTAGATACTAAGCAAGTGTCCTGCCTGGATGGCTTAAGTCAAGGTTTGTTTGAACCAAACCATAGCTTCTATTAATATGAATGTAAATAACATGGTTATAATTTACAATTTGAAAGAAACAATTAATAATGCAGAGATTATGTTGTTTTTCCAAAATTCAGTATCTAATGACATCTGTATTAGAGTTATACCAAATAATGCCAATACAGAGTCCCAGAATAGCTGTGCAGTGTATATTCTTAAAGGGAATTGACTACATGCTAATAAAGCAAAGATCATTACTGATTTCTTAAAGCTTTCATCAACATTTAGGTTTAATTCAATGCTTCTGTTATGTTGATAAAGTAGGAGAAAACTGTTTTCTCCTATGTTCCTAAATCCTGCCTTAACTATCCAACCACCAAAGAACAAGAACATAGTTACCAGAATGAGATAAGCAACGTTAAATCTACCATTGGATCTCTACAGGTTCTGATCCCACCCTGGTACAGACATCAGAAGGGACCATGTAGGCGGCACTCACTGTTTCTCAGGATAGAGCCTTTTGTGAATAAAATGCAAATTCTTTACTAGCACATTCATTAAAAATCTTACTTGGGTATAGCACAGCCTGATTTACTACAAAGGACTTGTAAGGCTTTGTTTTACATTACCAAAGAGCCAAAACATTTTGTGGCAACACTGAGATCTGGATAGATGCTGTCAGCATAGTGACTGTAACCTTCAATTGTTTTGCATTGAAAAGATAATTCCCATTTTTCAGGCTGTGCCAGTGAGAATATACAGATAAGTTCCACCGCTTTAGTTAAAGTTCTGTAATTGCAACTGGCTCCTCACTGTTGGAGTATATGCAGAATTAAAGCCAATTTTAGGCCCACAGCCTTGAAACAAAATTGTTTGGTACAAGAGCAATACTTACTGTGTATTTGGTAGCATCTGTGAAATCAGGTGTTGAGGGTGTTGGGATTCTGACAAGGGAACACCAGATTCTGTTCCTATATAGATTTTCATTTTAAATAAACCGTAATATTACTTACTTCTCTGGTGAAAAAAAAATGCATTTCTACTAATCTTCACAGAGCTGTTTCCTTCTAGCAAATGTTTATTACATTGAAATCTCGGAAGTTCAGAAAGACAAGAAAGTCTGTATTTCTGTCATAGAGACTCAGTAAGTGTTACAAAATATGTAATACTTAGCAACACTGTTAACAGAAACCCCTTCAGTAATTTGCATCAGGAGAGGAAAGTGTGTTTTCTTTACCTGACTTACCAAAATCATGTTTACACTTACTCTTATAACAATGTCAACACACATCCATGGCTCAAGAGCTGAAATCCAGGAATTTCCACATGTGAAAAAAAAATTCTTTGTAAAGCATTAAAGCTCTGTGTGTCAGTACTTTCAAATTATATTTTTCAATTTATAAATTTGCATGAAGATTTTCATTTTCCAAGAGCTGCCATTTTTCATTGCAAAAACGTTCCCCTGGAGAAATGTTACCGGTGTTCAGTACTTCTGAGAGTTAGAATAGACGATCTGTGATTTTAAACCACCTGAATACAAACACAAATTATTTGCTAGGAAAAATAGACAATCAGCAGCGATTTTCTGAAAGCAGAAAAAGCATAGTTAGACCTTAGATTCCAGGCTGAACTGGTGTTTTTAACAAGAGAAAAAGAAAAGCCCTTTTTAAAAATAAAGAGATCCCTAAACGTGCTGCAGCACTCTGACTTCTGTATACCTTTGCCAGTAAATTCCATATCAAAGTCTTGGCAGTCTGTCTCAGACAGTAATGTAGTGGTATTTGCTCTGCAGAGAAACAGTCTATGGCTCCGTATCACGTTTGTGTAAACCTTTAAAGAAAAGAGACTTGCCATTGTCTACTAATACTAATCACTAATAATTAGTGTATTTATAATCACCCTGTGAATGTTTGCAGAGGAGCTATAAAGGACAGGGGAGACATCCACAGTGTCCCCGGAGGGTGAGCAGTGTTCCTCTGTGTGCAGTGTGTTGGGCACGCCGTCTCTGTGACGTTCATGGAAGTGCTCCTCTCTCTTTTCTGGATTTTATTTGGGGAATATAGCACAGGCTTCTTCTTGAGCCTCAGCATTAGGTTTGTGGGGTGTGTACACAGCCACATCCCAAAATTTTTATTCTGAAGTTTGCAGGTCTGTCTTCCCTCAAAAAATCAGGTTGTGTAAAAATGCGTATTTTAATTAAAATGATGCTAAGTATGGTTTTTGCTTCAATGTGATCTGAGGTGTTTATTACATTCTTGCATGGCAATAGATATGGAAAGAGCTAATGGATGCCACTTGATGGTCGCGTACCTACAAGCATAGCTGTCCCTGCCGCTGCAGGTGCTCCAGCTGTGTTCAGCATCATGCCAGGCCGTACGACCCCTCAGGCTGTAACATAACCTCGTACCGAGTTTGAGGGGCTGCCAGTAACATGAGTGGAAGTTAGAAAGAGAAAATCAAAACCAGTGTGGCCCAACAAGTTCTTCCTTTGCTTTGCTGGGGAATATTAGAAGCCTGAGGACTGTGTTTCTTTTACAAACCTATGGCTTATTCTGAGAGTCCAGAAAAATAGATAAAGTGCACTGTAGCTTTCTGGTTTAGTGGTCATGAGCAGTGTACACAGTAGAGAATCGAACTATCTACTGGAAGGAGTCAGTGGTTTGAAATCTGAACAGTTGATGTTGATGCCGACTTTGAAAATACTTGCTCATCTCTTTGCAAATGCCCATTCAAGCTCTACTTTCTGGGTGCCTTGGGATACCCAGGGATGCATTAGTTCACAGAAGGAGATTTTTTAAATCTATCAGCCTGTATAATGGAAAAAACAGCAGGAGGACAGGCAAACTCTTTCCTGCTCCGCAGTGGTACTGAAATAATTCAGATGGAAGCCCATTGCAGTCAGGTGGTTCAACGCCTGCTGAAAGAAAGTCTAATTACATCGTCTCCAAGAGCAAAATAAAACCTGCTATGCATTTTGTGTGAGAGATTTATCAGGCTTCCCTGTGGGTTGAGAGATTCCTAGGCAAACACGTGGGGTGTTTGTGCCAGGGAGCAGCGAGGGCCGGCAGCTCCCTGCGGAAGAGGGAGCTGGGACTGAGAGTAACAGCCCATGTGGCCAGGGCAGAGACTGCCCAGCAGCAGCCCAGTCCTGCACCCAGGTGTGGAGAGCAGGGCAGGTCCAGTGATGGAAACTGGGGTCAGCCCAGGCAGGTTACGGTGGTGAGGCAGGTCTGAGGGCAAGCCAGGATGTCCATCAGTGGGCTGTGGCTCAGGTCCAGATCCACAGGGTGCATGGCCTGAGGGCAGAGCCCAGCTTCCTCTGGCGAGGAAGGGGCCCTTACGGATGCTGTGTGAGCTCTTTCTTTGCAGCAGGCTGAGCCGCGGCCAGGTACCTGCAGCGCAACAGAGAGCCCCCACTAAGTGCGAGCCACCCAGCTCTGGGGTGGAGGGAGCAGTAAGCTCCAGGCCCAGGTGGTATTTTCCTTAAACAAGGCCAGCGTGACCACTTAAGCCAATAAGTGTTCGCAGTGCTATGTCAATAGTTTGCATAATTTCAGCAGTGAAAGGAAGGGATGTATGGAAGTGCATACACCTGGAAGGACAAATATAAGCAGTTCAAGTCATGGCAATGTCCTGTTGAGTACTTAAGTCAGACAATGCTAATGATTCTGTAGTGTCTCTGTATGCAGAGTTTAACTCTTACACAAAGAAGAGAACCAAAACATGGCACTGGAAGTCTTTGCAGTGCTTTAAAACAACATACATCTGAAACAACATATATCTGCAAAAATAAAAATGAGTTTGAATGAGTCTTACCCCTCAGTTATTTACTGGCACACTAACTCAACACGTGGCTCTGATTTCAAGAGACAGTTTGAGCTGAACTGGCAGATCATCTCTGTCGAAATGGGAGACTCTACGCCATCCTTGCCTTTGTCCAGCCACCTGGCTCTGCCTCTTCTGTTGCCCTGTTCCAGCGCTTACACACTGCTGTGCACACAGTGATTGACTGAAACAACACAAAACTGATCTAAGAGGGGAAGAGGTTGGAGTATCAGACTAAAATTGGATCACTGCTGCTGGGTCAGTCATTTGAATCCGCAAGCTGCAGTCCAGATCCTGGGCTGGGGGAGGGTGTCACTCAGAGCCAGGGGTTGGGACAGCAGGAAGGAGAGCGAGAGAGTCGTGGTGGTAAATCACTGAGTCAGTTCCACCCTTGGTGAAAGCACGTTTTCTGAGACTGAAGATCAGGATAGCATGGAAAGCAATGGGAAAAATTTCAGCTTTGCTCCAAGTTGGTCAGAGTTTCTTCATTGGCTTCAGTGAGGCTAAGATGGCTCCATTTATATTTGTTTAAAGCAAAAATGTTTGTAAGATCAGCTTCTAATTAATTAGTGTGTTATGAGTGCAGTACTCGGACAAGTAAATAAATCTAGCAGGATCTGGTTTGATTTGTGCTATGAGGATTGCAAAAAAAAACAAACCCCAAAAGTTAAAAGAATAAAGAATCTATTCCTTGTCTGGTGTAAAATATACAAACACCTTTTAAAATGTGTTTTGTCTTACTTCAGCTTTGTAAAATGTTAAATTTGTGAAGTACTCAGATTTCATCTGAGCGGATGATTGATAGCTAAGAAAAGTGCAATTATGTTAGCTCTGTTTGTAGAGGCAAGCCATATGTGAAGTCTTTAGTATGCTTTGCTCACAAGATATTGAGGAATAGGGTGGCTTTGAACCTAGGCAGGTAAGATGATTTCATTGTTCCATTTTTGATATGAAATATTTCTCCGGTTTTCATGTATCACATAACAGTGTTCGGGCAGTAGATGAAAGGGGAAAGATGTGAAATTGCTTTCACTTCAAAACCAAAGGAACAGGGTTTCGTGCTTTTTCCAGCAGAAAGTTTTCTGTACAAAGACAACAGTAAGCACGAGAGTGACAGTGTCCAGCTCTTTTCTGATGGTATATAAAAATAATGCCGCACTGGGGTTTGGGATTTTTTTCCATTTTGTTGTTTTAAAGTACATACGGTAGAAGACAACACCTGCACAAACCCCAGATGTTCAGAAAATACGGCAACTTTGTAGAGTTAAGAAGTGGGAGGGTAGAGTACGCATCCTGGCTTTCACCCAGATCTTCTCTTGACTCTTTGTTGGCTTTTGTTGGGATAACTACTGCTGCCTTCCCGCACATCTCTCAGAGAGTTTTTGAGCTAGTAGATCAGGATAATGACGGATCTAACAGTCCACGTCCTGCTCCAGACAATATAGTCATTTTTCTAATCAGGGACAACCAGAGTCCCTTTGCTCTTGCACAGATCATGGCTTTCCCGTTCCTGCCCTGAGTAGGTGTGATTCAGGGTGCCTTTCATGGACCTTTTGGGTAGATTAATTTCATTTCATTTTCACTGTCATGATAAACTTTCTGCAACATCACTGACAGCTGGTTGCAGTGAAAATTTATTTGAGCACTCGTGGGTTCTTCCTGCAAAGCTGTAACACTACCTTGCTAATGAATTTGCCAAACCATGTTGCTGTTGGAAAGCTGAAACCAGGCAACTGCAGTAGATGGTGATAATCAGGGTAATGATTGCATTCTCTAGGCTCCTGCTTAAGGAAGGGGGCTTGGCAGGGTGTCTTCTGATGTGACCCAAGTGCAAGCGAGGCAAGGCTGTGTTTGTGTTAGGTCACTTGTATCAATCTGTTTGTGTGAAGGACCACGATGGCTGGTGCTGACAGAGATGTTTTACTTAAGTTTACCTGAGTTCATGTAAATTTTAAGAGTTTGAAGGAACTCTGCACAAAAAAGAGAAGAATCTACAAGAGGAGGTACTGGTTCTGAGAACAGTGCAGCAAGGAAGGAAGGAACAAATGGGACTGGCAGGTGCTGATAAAAAGATGCTTTTATTTGCAGAAGGATTGGGGTGAACAATTGGAGCACCTTATTTGTATTGTCATGCTGAACTGTGAACAGCAGATGACCTCAGAATCTAGAGGAGGATTGGGATTCCTTTCTGCTCTCCCCTCCTGTGAGGGATAGTGTGATAGTGTAAGCAACCCCTTTCTCTGCAGGGCCAAAGGAGTGAGTTTAAAGCTTGTTCATAATCCTGTGAAGGCTGCCTGTAAAGCAATCCAAACACAAATGGTTATCTGGTTATTTGCCTGCTACCTGTATTGCTCTTGGTGTGCTTCTGTCCGCACACATTGCTTGCTCATCATTTGCACGTATCATACAAGGTTATTTTGGGGAGATTCAGTACAGGAGAGAACAAGTCATGTTCTTTAAATTTGTAAGCCATTCTGATTATGATAAAAAGTAGAGCAGCCTGAGGACTGCTCTAGATATTTCCTCTGTAGTTCGATGAGCAGCCTGCAAAACTGGTGAAGTTGTAAGGGAAATGCTTAGTGAGGCAGCTGTGGGAAAAACGGCAGCCCAGTCCCCACTCCTCAGGCAGCTTAAAAGGGCAGGACTGGGGATAAATTAATTGGTCCCCTGGGGCTAAATTGGTATAGTCACCCAGATGCTGGGAAATGTCTGTCAAAGAGCAGGATGATGAGGATTCCTTTGCTTTATGCCCTGATGGAGGAGAGCTCTCTGCAGGCCAAGCAAGTCCCTCTGAGGGAGTCAAAGTGGACCTGCTTTCTGGGCTAGTACAGCTGGTTTTGTGTGGTCCTTAACGTGGGAACTATTTGTTGAATTTTTAAATATTTGCAGTTGATTCTTTGCTATGCACTTACTGGATCTGTGTAGATAAACTTGGTAATGGTTTATACAAATAACCTTTTTTTTTTTTTTTTGGATGTGTACTTTAACACTTATGAACGTATGGGTACAAGAAAAACGTGCAAAATGCATGTACTCACAATTGCAGGTCCTGCCTTGGGAAAAAGTAGTGAAAGATTCTTCTGTTAAATAGCTTCAAATCGTGTTCCGTGCAGATTTCAATGAAGCAGTGCCAGAAACAGAGAGGCTGGACTCCAAAGCTCTGAAGACTCGAGCTCAGCTTTCAGTGAAGAACAAGCGGCAGAGGCCTTCTAGAACAAGGCTGTATGATAGCATCAGTTCAACTGATGGAGAGGACAGCCTTGAACGAAAGGTGAGAAGGACTCTACCCTCTCTTTCAGGCTTCCTGCGGAGTGCTAGATTGCCCCTGTAAGTCATTTGGTCCTCTGTCTTTGTCCGTTTGTTGTAGCACAGGCAGTATTTATTCTTCTGTGGCCAGTATGCTATGAATATCCTTGAGTGACGTGCGAGTTCAGTCCCCTTTGAGTCAGCACACCTGGTTTTTTGGTTTTGTTGTGATTTTTTTTAACAGGAATCCTGGGCTTTCTGATTTACATGTGCTTTATAGTGCAGAGTGGGTCCTTTCATTTATGCAGGAGGTGAAAGGAACTTGAATCGTGCATTTCTCTATTTGTTAATTTGTTAACACAATCAATATGATATTCACTCGTTTGTCCTACTCTGACTTCCGTCTGAAAGCAATTACCAATAAACAACACTGTGTGTGGTATCAAGAGGTAATGGCATGAATTGCTAAAGCGTTCCGTGCAAATAGAAGGCTAAATAATGAATAAAGGCATTGCATGTTCAAAGTAAACCTTGCTCTGATTGGTTACTAAATGGTATAACATGCTTTATAATCTCTTATACCAACAGCCGTCAAACAGTTACAGTAGTCCCATGCACATTTCAAAATCACCACTGCCCTTATGCATGAGAGCATCCTCACCAGCATCAGATTCTGGTGCTTCCTCCCTCTCCCCCGTGGCTAGCAGTGCAGCAATCTCACTTGACAACCTAACTGAAAACCAAGAAGAAGGACAGCACCACAAAGGAGGTGTTCTTGCCCCGCACACTCGGGGAGACACTCCACTTTCCTCTCCTTCAAAATCTGGGCACAGCTCTGAAGCATCTCCTTTGCATCACCCAGCTGGCAGGAATATTTTACAGGATAAAGGTATTACTATTTTTTACAATAAATTGATGCATCATTTTTCTCACTTACATCTACTTTATGAACTTTCATTGTGTATTAGGGCCTCAGCAACTAGAAAGCCATCATCTCATAACTTCTTTTGTCTACCTGGAAGTCAAAAATTTACAAATGATCTTGTGTGATGGTGTAAGAAAAGGACAGCGTTTAAAATGAGATTGGGAACTGCTGCTTTTCTTTTTTTTTTTTTTTCTTTCTTAGAACTCACTGAGGGAAGTTGCCATTAAGAAAATCTTGTATTTTGTTCTAAAACACCAAAACTATTAGACCTCAGGACTTTTCTGTTTTAGAAACATGCTTAACACAGTGTACTTATTCGAATTATGTGATTTTGGCACTGCTAGATGCTTTTTTTGGAGGGTGGGGACAGGAGCGTAAAGCAAGAATAACAGATTGTAGCTTTTAATTGCTGAGAGGCAGCATAGTCTAGATTAAACAAGAGGTTAGTGTCTGGAGACTCTTCATTTACTGAAAAAAATACCAAGTAATTTGTTGGGGAGGTTGGCTACTTTTGTTATTTATTTAATTCAGATACTTTAAACGTAAGCTGGATAAAACATGCTGCAATCATACCTAGCTCTCATCTCTCAGACACCAGTTTATTAAATGCATTGACAATATGATACGGCACAGAATACTGAGCCCTTCTTTTCAGATGCCTTGTGAAATCAAAGTTAGCATTTGACACAGCTTCTTATCTGTGCACCTTGCGTTCTCGAACTGTCACATAAGCTAAAATAGGTGCTAAAAGTTGTTTATAAGTGAGGACTGCGGGAATAGGTCTGGATAGGTTCATAACAGACTTTTGCTTGCTTAATTTAACTGAAAAGAACAATTTGTTGAGGATTTTTGTTTGTGTGTCTGAAAAGACCTGCCACCGATTTAAAGCCTATTTTTAATTCATCTTCTTACAGGGCTTTCACACAGATTCCTAAAAGACAGATTAATGAAGTTGTGTTGAATTTAGGATAGGTTAATACATGCTAGCATTTTTACATGAGTTCTGAAATTGCTAGTCTTGACTGCATAGTTTCTAACTGTGTAATTGTTAATGAATCAAAGTTAAATTCAATATTTGAGTTTTGCAAGTAAAAATAAGGGTGTGAACATAAGAATGTGATTTTCCAAACTCGTACTTCAGCTTAAGTGTCTGATTGGTTTATCAGTGAAGTCGTAAATCCTGCATTTCCAACTGAAGCATGAAAAATACCTTGATAAAAATTTAGTGGAGACTAGCCTTGTAGTGTAAGGAATGGGGTATTATATTCCACCCACTGTGTCACTCTTTATTAGGTTTGAAAAATAATGTCTGTCTAAATATTGGTGTCATGCTTTCCCCACTGTGACCAGTAAGTAAACAACCAGTGCTTTTGAGTGTATCCAGATTCAGATGAGCATGAAAATTAAACCAGAACAATTTAGTTTCAAATGGAAAATTTGCATTTAATTGCTCCTACAAAAAATAAATATCCTAAAGCAGTTGTTTGGCAACAAGTGTCATAGCGATACAATTCTAATTGATTATTAATTTGGCTGTCACACTCTTACAGGTCAAAAAATAAAAAGGGCCATTGTATTTGTTCTGTTTGTTCAGGTAGGGTTTTTTTAGAGATGGAAAGAGAGTACATCCATGGACATGTCTGTGTCTGTTGATTAATTTCTCATTAGCAGAAGTGAGCATTAGCAAGCTCACGCTTGTCTTTTTTTTTCTTATGAGATCCTGCAGTGTTATGGAAAGAGCTGAAGTGACATGGGATCAGTTTCCTTGAGAAATGATGAGGAATTTCACTTATTCATCTTTTAAGCAGAACTTTTTCATGTATTTTCTTCAGTTCTGCCTGGTCTCTGCAACAGCATCCGTTGACAAGGCAGCTGAGGTGACCTTTATGGGCAATACTCCGCTGATGGCTGCAACCATTTGTGACCTTGGGGAAGAAACTTAGGTCTAATCTCCTTTCCCATCCGTCAGCCACAGATTACTTGCACCAGCTCCTTAAGGCTGAAAGTGATGCATTAAACAGCTTCTGTGTGATTTATTCTGAGGAACCGGCTCTCCCTCACCCTCTCTGAAGAACTGCAAGGAGTCAGGGAAGATGCACCCAATCCAGGGTGGTCAAAGTCCCCTCCTGCCCAGGCAGGGCACCTGCAGCCCTGGTTCATGGCCACTGCCGTGTGCCAAGCATTGCATACCTCCGTGTGTGCAAGACCCTGTAGATTCAAATCAACTCAGCCACTGAAGCCGGTTTTGGGACCTAGCCCATCCATCTTCCTCTGTATCCCATAGCCACCATAAATGTTTTCCCCAGCAAATTGTCATTACTCAGAGGGCCCTGACTGGGCCAAGCTGCATGTGAGTGGGAGCACGGTGATACAAGACCCTCAACAGCAACTTGCCATGCCAGGTACCTGCTACATGTCCCTGTTGAGCTCTCCAGATTATTTCATAGAATCATAGAATAGTTTAGGTTGGAAAAGACCTTTCAGATCATCAAGTCCAACCATTAACCTAACCCTGCCATCCCACCACTGAACTATGTCCCTAAGCACATCTACCCGTCTTTTAAATACCTCCAGGGATGGGGACTCGACCACCTCCCTGGGCAGGTGTTATGGGCTCGTACCTGTTAAAAGGGCAAAGCAGCCAAATGTCTGCCTTGGCTCCAGTGGGAGGGGAGGGTTCAGGGCAGTTCCAGCAAAGCAACGCCTTTCCTGCAGTGGGGGGCCCAAAACCGAACACAGGATTCGATGTGCGGCCTCACCAGTGCCGAGTACAGGGGCACGATCACTTCCCTGCTCTTGCTGGTCACACTATTCCTGATACAAGCCAGGATACCATTGGCCTTCTTGGCCACCTGGGCACACTGCTGGCTCATATTCAGCCAGCTGTCAACCGGCACCCCCAGGTCTTTTTCTGCCAGGCAGCTTTCCAGCCACTCTCCCCCAGGCCTGTAGCCTTGCATGGGGTTGTTGTGACCAAAGTGCAGGACCTGGCACTTGGCCTTGTTAAACCTCATATTTCTTCTACAACAGCAAAGCCTCAAGCTACTAAATGCTTTCATTATATGCCTACCACAAAAGCAGTGTACATTATAGTTTAATTTACTTTCATTAAGAAGTTTCTCAAAAAAGCCCACCTCTCCCTGGCCCCCAAGCCTCAGTTGCCTGTAAATAGTTAGTGTGAGAATTAATGTTGCGATTTTTATTCTTGAAAGTGGCAATTTTGACAGTGGTTAAATGAGAAGTATGCCATAAAGGTGAAAGAGGAATCGTAAGAGGAGACAGGAGGGGAGAGTGCACAGCATAGGGTTGATGGCAAAGTGTGCATTGCCTAAAGTTCTCCTCGGCCTCCCTGAGGGATGGATTTCTTCTCAGGAGACTTTGCCTTGCTTTTGTCATTCTTCATATTACTTTTTTTCTGTTTGCTTTTTTGGCATGATGTTACTTGTCAGTTGTTCTTGAATGTTATTTTTTTCAACAGAATGACTTGTTCTGGTAGAAATAGTATGGCTGTTAGGTTATGGGTATTGCACAAGGCTTATTTTCCTGCTTTTCCCAGGATTTATGAACCAGTTGCGCATTGAATTTTTTTGCTTGAACGAAAACTTGCCCAAATATTATTCACAAAGCAACATACAAAGTTCTGTAAACATAGTTGACTGACCTGTGATAGAGCTGTGGTATTTGGGGTTAATTCTGAGGGCTTAATTTGTCAGCTATAGTAGGAGAAATCCACAAACCCAGCAGTGCTTTCAGTTAAAAGTCACCATGTGTCTGAGGTCACGTTGTAAAAGGCACCAAGCCACAAGTGACACGAATGACTGACCTTCATTTGCTTCCTCTCGAGTATTTGGGGACAATCTTTATGTTTAAGAATCACAGAAACTGTGTCTGAATTTTTCAACTGCTGTGTGTTTTCTTTTAGCTTCCATATAGATTTCACAGGATGTTTTGCAGACTCAGATGCATTGTTTTGGCTTTATAGGTGCTGCAGGCTGTTTCCTCTTGAGGCTTTAACAGCATTTGTAGAAGAGATCAAAAATTGGTAGACATCTCAGGGCAAATCTATTAACTAAGCTACTTTGAATTTTTTTTTTTTTAAATTCAGAATGGTTAGATTTCAAGTTAAATGTTTATTTTAACAAACATGTTCAAGCTGAAGAGATAACTATTACCTAGCATGTCTATCATAAAAGGTGCCCTCAGCTCCAAAGTTCAAGAAAGTATTTCAGGAGTCGTTTGGGAAGTAAAGCATACGTACCAAATGAATTCCGTAAAAGGAAACTTAAGCGGCTACTGATGAGTTTAAAACTGCATTCACTGTGATGTTTACCTGTATATCTTTTGTGTTGTTCAACTTACTACATATTCATTAAAACTCAACCAAATTAACTTTTCATTTTCTTCAATTAAAATAAGATTTCTTCATGTGTATTTTCAAATTCTGAAAGCATTTCTTTATTCCTCTTCACACCATCTTCTTAAAAATGAGAAGAATTCACGTAATTAAATTGTGTACTCACACACGTGTACATGTATGCTTATCTGATTATGCAAAGATACGTGAATGTTCTGGATGGAAAGTGGAATAGCTATCAGTAGCAATTAAAAATAATAATGTACATTCTCCCATGTACAAATGTATCCTAGATGGTGCCACATGCGCTCAGGCAGCAAGAACAACTAGCTCCACTATAGGGCATACAGAAAAACTAAAGCGAAAACTTGCAGATCTTGGGTAAGTATTTTGTTATTTAAAATACTTTTTTTTTCATTAAAAGGATTAAAAGTAAAATTTCAAAGATGTTTTCTGATGTTTTCTAATATTCTTGTAGGGCTCCCTTGAGAAGGAGTTCAAACAAGGGCAAGAAGCGGAAAGAGAAAGAAGCTATTAGGGTGACCTATGGCAGTAGGTATGGGTAAAAGATTGAGGATGCAAGAAACATGGGAATAACCTAATTATCCTAGCAGATGGGAACATTAACAGTCCCACTGACTTCATGTAAATAAGTGTTAAGCTTTGAGATAACCTTCTGAGCTTACAAACCTACATTTCTTAACTAATGGCAGACTAACATAAAATCTTAAAAATATTTGGAGGCTTATAATATCATGGCATCACTACTACTGTTGCATCCACTAATGGGACTTGGAAAAAAGGGTTATCAGAGGTGGCCTACAAGATGCATGCACAGTCAGTTGATAATACCCATGAACCCGAAATCTTGACGTAATTCCACATGTATATTTTTGAAAAAACCCCCAGAGCAAGGATGAGCAGCAGCTGTTCACTGCAGCTTCACAGCACCCACACCAGAAACACTTTCAGAAGGGTTTGTTTCTGAAGATGAACATCATAAGTTGAAAAGAGATAGGAAAAATGCTGACTGCATTTGTCACATCACCAGCTCTCAGGGAAGGAATTGTGAATTCCTTATGAGATCTGATGAGACCACGTCACCAGCATCTGGACTCTGAATAAATAAATGAATGTTCAAAATCACAGCAAGCAATCTCCTCTGCAAAAGCTAGTGTAGATTTTTACTGGAGGTCTCTCCTCACGTACTCATGAGTCTGACAAGATCACAGCTACAAGGGGTGATACCTGGTTCCAGGTGTGAAAGACAAGTTAATGTCAGGAGTGCTAAGCAAACTTAATACATTCCAAAAGTCTAGAAAGAACATAGCAACTCAAAAACCCTCTGCACATAAAACAGTGCAAAAGAAAACCCTCATGAAAGAAAAGCTATCAGAAGAAAGCAAACTTTGAATGCTACTCAGAAGATCATAGTGGTGGAAAACCAGTACGTAGCCATTTGTGGCGTTTTGCTGACAGGCTAATATATGGAGACTGGGTGGCACGTATATTTTGTAGCTCTGTAAAATCAGAAAAGCAAAAGAAACCTTAGAATTCTGACTTACTCCCTCAGGCACACTGTACTGAAGTGTAATGTTCTGTCTCAGCATACGTTTGTACATTCGTATCCTGCAAATACCTGGCAGGATCTTCAGTGATCTTAGGCAGCAGTCATCACCTCTGGTGTCAGAGAAACTGTTCCCAGTTGGTTCCACTGGAGCATCCACTTGCCATGTGACTTGGAGTTAGTGATATTCCCTGCTGGATTTTCCTAGTGACGGGGAGAGATTTGTTAAAGCAAATTCTCTGCACCTCTGTGCAGCTGTAAGGCAGCTAGTGCCCTTAGCAGGGCATTAAACTTCACGTAGCATTAAAATATGAAGCCACAGGGTAGGGGAAATGAATGTATACTTGTTTGTAAGAACTCAATACGTTCCTTATACCAACATACACAGGTGGTTGTGCAATCCCATAGGTATCTGCCTTAGACAAAGCAGATCTCAGCATAGAGACATCAGTTGTTTGTTCTGAGTTCGGATACAGTTATTAAAAGCAAAGTTTAATACTGCTTTCAAAGTAAAAATTCATAAGCATTTGTAATCCTCACTGTGCCTCTGTAAACTGGAATATCATTTCAGTGTAACTTTTTAAACACCTATTGTCGCTTCCTCTGTGACCAACTCCAAAGAATTTGCCTGAGAAGAAATGTGAGGATGTTTTCTCTACAGGCCAAAGCTGTATAAGCTCTTTGAAAGAAGGAAAAAGGTGATAAAAAGACAGCATCCTGCTGTAATTATGTCCATTGTAGCAACTGACTGATGTAGAATTAGCCACGCTGTCAGATGGATGTTGCATGTATTATTTTGCCGTTGCCAAAATATAGCACTCAGGATGTGTAAATAAAATCCTGAGTTATTTCCTAGACTACTACTAATGTTACGTACATAAAAAAATTCCCCATTTAGGTAAGAAGCATATATTCCCCTGCCTGAAGTTAGGTGATGCGGGCAACGTCATTTGTCTTTTCTTTCTACCTCAGGCAAGGTCAGAGGATGAGGGAGGAGTACAGGACTGCGTCAGATACACCTGCCTTTCTTTATGGAGCTAAAGGGAGGGAGGATTCTTCTGCTTCCATGGGTGGGGGCCCATTGACAACCTCAGTTTCGTCCATGCAGAAAAGAAGCTTCACAATATACGAAGCTCTAGTGATTATGTTAATAATGATTTAGAAGCTGTCCGGAAGGTAGAAGTTGAAGGGAGATTTATATATGTGCAATTTGCTGGTGGCTGCTAAGAGCAGTAGAAGTTTAATGCTCTGAAACAGTAATATATAGGTTGATATAAATAATATGAGAATATGACATATGCATAAGTTCTTTGAGGCACACATTTTGCATAGTTATTTTTAATTTACATATTGTACCATTGATGTGAAATATTCAGTGAATAATTTAGGCATTTTATTTTGTAACTGTTACCTTTGCCTTGATCACATTATCCCCTGCAGCCTTTGTTACTACAGAGAGAAGCTGATAATATCACATGGTGCTTCTTTCATTTTCCTATACTAATAGCTTTAATAACATTAAAATGAAGATAATAATACTATATCAGTATTTAGCTGTTGTATCAAAGCCACAGCTCCATAGATGGATACAGACGCACCTGATGCATTCTGCCTGGGCTCTAAACGCAAGCCAGACCTTCTCTGGGAACCAGAGCCCGCTTGGGTCAGTGTGGGGGTCTGATCTATTTAACCATGCAGAGATACTCTGGGGCTCAGAAGTGCACCAACATGGCGTGTGGCTTCTTGACTGGAGCTGGTTCACATCCGAACAGCGGGAGTACAGGCGTTTTCAGTTGGCATCTGTCTCTGTTTGCTGGGTGTATGTTGTCTAAGAGAGCTTGTGTTAGAAAAAGAATGAAAAGAACTCACTTTTTCTTCTTTTGCTGAAAGAGAGATTTCAGGTATATCCCTGCCAGCTGCGTGCCACTCAGTTCTTTAGTCACAGTTACAGGGAACATCACTCTTTTTACAATTCACTGCCTCTGTAGCATTTTGTTTTCTCTTATTTTATAGTCTAACACGTATTCCTGCTCCTTTCTCTTGAACAGGACCGCCAGAGAGATGCTGCAGAGATCAGCAAACACTAAATCTTTAGCAGAGCGATCCTCCTCTCTCCCACACTGTGTACCATTCACATGGTATGGAGAGAGTGGCAAGGGATCCAATTCTTCCAGCAACCTGCCATCGCCTACCAGCTCAACTGAACCTTCCTCTGAAAATATAAGTCCAGCTAAAAAAGGGTCAAAGGTAGAAAATAAAAACTACCTTATTCCCACTGTGTTGAGTGGCATAATTGGCTTCATGTTTCTGGAAAAAGAACAGGCCAATATGTGACTACTACAATAAACAGTGCATGGTGTTCATTGTAGGGTAAAAGCTCATCGGAACAGAACATCTCTGTCATTGTACCATTCCACATTCTACCTTTTTACTCTGTCTTAATGTACATTAATTCAGTAAACTAACTGTGCTGTGCTGTACCGTAACAAAAGCAAGTGGTGCCAAGTGGAAATTAGCATTTGGATCCACTGAACAAATGCTAGATTTGTGTATTCAGTTATAGATATTTTCTGCATTCTTCAGGACTGATTGTGGGAATACCTACCCACGTAGGTTCAAACGAGGTGTCTGCAAGTGAAGAAATGCTGTATGCCGTCAGTCATCTTTCTTTTCTCCCCCAATAATGAAATCTGTTTGTCATGCATGCTGGATGTTGGACTTAATTCTCTATATGAAGATGCTTGAACTGTAAATATGAATTATTGCAATTTAATACATCTGTGTGATTCCTTTCTATGTGCATGAATGTTTCAGCATGATAACTCCTTAAATAACCCTTAGTTATAGTAATAGACTTAGCTTTTTCGTGTTTATTTTCACTTTTGGAAAATACTTCTCTGCCTGTATCTTCTTACAACTCGTAGCAGTTGACTTTTTAACATTGGTCCGGTAAAAAGAAACAGATACGGTTGTCAGCTTTACATACGGGAATATGAATCAGAACTCTAATTTCTCTGTCTTCTACCAACACATGTGTGGACGTAAGAGCAGTTTTCCATAGGCATTTCATAGTCTTTTGGTGCCAGAAGCTGGTGATACCTTACTTCTGCTGTGCACTAAGCTATGCAAGGTCGGAGCTGTGCTCCTGTTACCTGGCAGGGAGAGCAATGCAAGGCTGACCAGTCCAAATCAGATTGATAGAGAAGACCACAGATGAAATCTCTGAAGGTTAAAGAGAAACTCAGCAGTTACCCAGTTTCTGCTGAAAAAGAAAGATGAGGATTAGACATGTCAATCCTATTTGTACCTTTAAACAAACGTATAAAAATAATTTTCAAATGGGGCGAAAAAGCACTCCCTTTTACAGTTAGTATTAGGTTGAGGTTTGGGGGAGGGGGGGGTTCCTGCTATCATAATCATTAGCAGACCTTGGCTATCTTGTATTTTTCCTATAGAAAATTAAATTTTAAAAGACTTAAATTCATCGTTAGGCTGAAGCTTGCACAAAATAGAGGTGAAAGAAAAATCAGAGTCCTTGAAAAATATGTTCTTCACACAACAGGAGGTAGAGCTGTTGAACTCCTGGCCTCAGAACACTGTGGGGGCTAAAAGCTGCCATACTAAGGAAGCTGCTCGGATTTTCTTCTCCTCTATACAGAGTTGGGAAAAGCAGAACAGGAATTTTAAATGCAGGTGCGAGAAAACTGATCAGAAAAACATTTTAATGTTCTCTGTAAAGTTTGCAAGCTCTTAAATTAACAATTCCTGCTCTCCAGGCTTTTAAAGCTCAGAGTGATACCAATATTTAGTTGGATTTCCAGCAAAACTAAGACACTTGATATTAGGACCAACACTTGATATGTTTGGAAGACTTCTTGTTTTCAGGAAAGATAGGTCAAATACCTTTCAGGGAGATAAAAGGATAACATTTTTAGTGTTGTTTTTGGTTTTGATGTTTGGATCCGTTTTTTTTTTTTAATTGAATGTCAAAGGTAAATTGCATGTGATACTCATTTAGATGTTAGATTAGAGGTTAGAGGTCTCTGTATCATCAGCTGTATATTCAAATTAAATGGAATATCATGGTGCCCTTAATATTTTATAGATCTGGGGGGTTTATGGTTCTCACTCTAACGTGAAATACTTGTTAATTTTTTGTCTTCTTCTGACGGTAGTTTTGTTGTATTCCTGGAAAATATGTGCATGCTTTTTCTATTATTTGCTGTAAGGTGTGATGTCCGTCATTGCGTTGTTAAGAAAAAAACAGGGTTTGTTTTATGGTGTTTATTAGTTCAGTAAATAACATTCAATATCCAAACATCTCTTTTACTTTCAATTTCATTTATTTCTAAAGGCATAGTCAAAAGAGGGAGGATCCTTTCACTTTTCTAGGAGGTTATTTGGGACTCAGAAATGGATTCACAGGATCTTTTCCTTGCTCTTTCAACAGTAGTTATTCTCCTTGCTCTTTCAATAGCAGTTTTCACTTCTCTCTGCTAATTAATCCTCTGTCCTATTCTTTGTGCTACTGCCTGTGCTACGCTTGTCCTAAATATTTGGAGGACAGTAAAATGCTAGTGATTAACCCACGGAAGCAGTAATTTAGCTCCAGGATGAGAGCCAGCGTCTTAAGAGGGAGTGTGGAAATTGTTTTCAGTCCCCTTTGCTATTCATTGAGGCAAAGATGTCTCTTGAAGTACACAGTGGTAAAAAATACTGTGTGTTCTATAAATATTAACAATACTAAAAATTAGGCTTCCTCATGTGTATTGTAATTGGTTTGGTAAATGATTGAAATCACTCCTGAACTATGCCAACCTGGAAGACAGAAAGCAAATTTCCCTTTTAAATGCAAGTATGAGATCATTTGGTCATTCTAACCCATCTTTTTCTCCACAGAATTTCACCTTCAACGATGATTTCAGTCCCAGCAGCACAAGTTCAGCTGATTTGAGTGGCTTAGGAGCAGAACCTAAAACCCCAGGTTTCTCGCACTCCTTAGCGCTGTCGTCAGATGAGGTATGCTGATGAAATCGTTTAAGGTGGAAAATGGTTGTTTTCTTTTTTCGATGGCATTTTTCTTGATAATTACTCAAATAATAAAGGGATATTTTTTAGGCAGTAGAATGGGAGAAGAAAATCTCAGTTTCTAGATTATTATTTTTCTTGTTCATATAATAAAGACTTGAAAGAAAGGTCCTATGGTATTATCATAGGAAAGAAGAATGTAGTTGGTTTCCTAAGAGATGCTATATCCTCACACATTTCAATACATTCTTCCTACATTCTAAATATGTACATGCAGACCCATAGATATATAGATATGCCTACACTAAACTAGACATGAGACAGTTTTGAGATAATAAACGTGCAATATAGTTCGGTAAATATAGTTGAGATGTAAGGCACCTTCGCCTAGACTAATTTTTACCCTAATATATGGAAATAATAATGACCTGTACATGCAGTAATTGTGTGTTACTGTACCTGAATGTATGTATATTGATTAGAACGTATATGTGTTAATCTACTTGGCATTCTTTGTGCTTGCTTTGCACAGTGGATTTGAATTCAGTTACTTCAAACCGGAGTTTTTTCGAACAATGATAGCGTGAGGAAGCATTCCTAACCCTGTAAATTGGTGACATGATTGAGCTGAATGTAATATACTGAAAATACTTAAGACAGGAGTTTTGTAACAACTCAGTTGTCAGTGAAGTTGCACAATTTGACAGTAGCTGACAACGTGTCCTGTGGACTCGGGAAAGCTGTGCCTTTGTTCTTTTACAAACACTCCATAAGAACTTCACATCCTTCCTGTGAGGTTTGAGCTACGGGGTTTTTTTCTAGAGAGAAGGAACTTGAAGTATCTATGGTTTGGGATTTTTTTTAATGATAGTTAGGTTTGTTCTATTATGGCCTGCATGCTTTGCAGATTTAAAGAATGAGAACTGATCCATGCAACCTCATTTGCCATAATGCAAGTCTACAGACCCAGCCATTCTTTAGAGGTTACTTACTCAGGTAATAAAGGGCAAAAATTTATAAGAATCATAGGAAAGTGCAGACAGGTCTGTATATTCTGTGAATTACTGAAAAAAACAAAGCCATCATTTATACCTTAGTTAGTATTAATACTACCTTGATAACACATTTCATTCTCTTACCATGTTTCATTCCCCTTATATTATGTATTTTATTGTGACAATGCCCTGTTCCCAGTGGCATTGAATTAAAAGCCTGAAAATGCTTTCATTTTGCTTGTTCAGCTCTCTACCTTAGCACTTCTAAAATACCAAGCCTGACCAGGTCTATAAAAGTGAATGTGTTTTCTCCATTCTCCGCCCCCGAATCGGGCAGCGTGTTCAGCGAGAGCTGCAGCGGAGCCTCCACAACCACCCTGGCAGGGCATTAGGGCCAGCGTTGCTCCTCAGCCTTTCACAGCGTATTGCAGCCAGCGCTCCTTCGCTCAGGCTTCTCTGGCAGATCTGACACGATTATTTGAAGGAGATGGAAAAAAAAAATAGTGAAAGGGTGGGGAGGGAACCCAGTTCTTGCAGGTTGTTCTCCTCTAATTAAGGAGCTTTTGTGCTTGCAATTGGAGCCATTGGGAAGGTTCCCACTGGTTCTAGGGTGTCAAGACCAGGAACTCCAAGGGGGTTTCACTGACACAGTCTCAGGTTAGCTGCCAAATCATGTGTGTGCTGAGCTTTCAACATAACCTCTCTGCTTCTGGAAATAATTTTTTTTAAAGAAATCTCTTTGGTTTCGAGTAGCCATATCTGTTTGCAAATCTTGGTGCTGCCCTTGCCTGAACTTTTACATGCTGTTACATGTTCTGTATTTTGTTTCTATAATGCTTTTCTTTCCCATTTCTTTGTTGCTCCCTCACTCAGAGCCTGGATATGATTGATGATGAGGTGAGATACTAGTGTGCTGTTGTGGTGAATCGTGTGACCATCGCGTGGCAACGTATCGTCTCATTTGCAGATTCACATTTCTTGTTTTACGGTGTTGTGTAGCAAACCCCCTTATTCAAGCAGAACACGCAGATGTCACTGCCTCCTCTCCCCTTGTCTTGAGTTCCCCTCCTTTCTGCTAAGAGTTCTCAAGGCCATAGCAAATGCAGTTTTTGCGGTATGCTGGAAGGGGGAGGAGGGTCGGTGTCAGAGCAAATCCACCAGGGCAAGCATCAGCTATGCTGAGCTCCTGCTGGCGACAGGAGAAGGAAAAGATCGTGCTTAAACTGTCTTTTCCCCCGCCCTGAGAACTGGACAGCCAGAAGCTGAGAGAGCTCCCAGCATCGTCTAATCCAGTGCAAAAGCTGCTCTCACAGCAGAAAGCAGC